TCTCTGTTTGTGAGTGTCTGTGTGTCTCTGTGTGTGTCTCTTTCTCTGTGTTTGTGAGAGTCTCTCTCTGTGTTTGTCTCTCTCTCTGTGTTTGTGAGTGTGTATCTGTGTTTGTGAGAGTCTCTCTCTCTGTGTGCTTGTGAGTGTCTCTTTCTCTCTCTGTGTTTGTGAGTGTGTGTCTCTCTTTGTGTTTGTGAGTCTCTCTCTCTCTGTGTTTGTATGTCTCTCTCTGTGTTTGTGTGCGTCTCTCTCTCTCTGTGTGAGTGTTTGACTCTGTGTGTGTCTCTCTCTCTCTCTCTCTCTCTGTGTTTGTGAGTGTCTATATGTGTGTGTGCCTCTCTGTTTGTGAGTGTCTGTGTGTGTCTCTCTCTCTCTCGGTGTGTGCCTGCGCGCGTCCCTCGCTCCGTGTGCCTGCGCGCGTCCCTCGCTCCGTGTGCCTGCGCGCGTCCCTCGCTCCGTGTGCCTGCGCGCGTCCCTCGCTCCGTGTGCCTGCGCGCGTCCCTCGCTCCGTGTGCCTGCGCGCGTCCTCGCTCCGTGTGCCTGCGCGCGTCCCTCGCTCCGTGTGCCTGCGCGCGTCCTCGCTCCGTGTGCCTGCGCGCGTCCCTCGCTCCGTGTGCCTGCGCGCGTCCCTCGCTCCGTGTGCCTGCGCGCGTCCCTCGCTCCGTGTGCCTGCGCGCGTCCCTCGCTCCGTGTGCCTGCGCGCGTCCCTCGCTCCGTGTGCCTGCGCGCGTCCCTCGCTCCGTGTGCCTGCGCGCGTCCCTCGCTCCGTGTGCCTGCGCGCGTCCCTCGCTCCGTGTGCCTGCGCGCGTCCCTCGCTCCGTGTTCGTGCGCGCGTCCCTCGCTCCGTGTTCGTGCGCGCGTCCTCGCTCTGTGTTTGTGCGTGTCTATGTGTATCTATTTATGAGTGTGTGTGTCTCTATCGCTTAGGTGTTTGAGTGCGTATGTCTATCTCTATGTGAGTGCATTTGAGTATGTGTCTCCCTATATGAGTTTGTGAGTGCCTGAGTGAGTGTGTCTGCATATCTTTCTTCTGTATGTATGTTTGTGAGTGTGTTTCCATGTGTCTGTGTGTGTATATATATATATCTGAGAACACGTACCAGGCGGCACCCCGCCCCGAGAATGCATCTCGCTCTCTGTGTCTGCGTCTCTCTCTCTCTGGGTCAACTTCCACATGTATGCGGATGACACCCAACTCTACCTCTCTGCCCCACCCTTGACTCCAGGACCACTGCTGTGCTGACAGAAGGTCTGTCAGACATCAAGTCTTGGATGAGAGCTAATTTTATTCAGTTGAACGTAAACAAAACCGAGGCTCTCCTGATTGGCTCCGGTCAGTGCCCCCTCACCTCAGGCGCAGATAGCATCACCATCCATGGTTGCACACTCCACCTTGCTAAGCCAGTCCGGAACCTTGGCATCTTGTTTGACTCTCAACTATCCTTTCTACCCCACATCTGCGCCATGACGCGCTGTACCTTCGCCCAGCTCCGCCACTGTCTCACATCGCAGGACTCCGAAACCTTCATACATGCTTTCATTATATCGAGCCTTGACTATTAAACTCATTGCTTGTCGACCTCCCAACTCCTCCCTCCATAGGCTGCAGATCATCCAGAACTCTGCAGCCTGCGTGCTCTACCACACCAGGCTTCGTAAGCCTATCAACCCCATCCTGGCCTGACTCCACTGGCTTCCCATCACACAGACGATACAGTTCAAGATCCTGGTCCTCACCCTAAAGCCCTCCATGGTCTTGCTACCCCCTACCTCTGGGACCTTCTAACCCCTACCAGCCTGCTCGCTCCCTCCACTCAGCGGGCTCCAGCCTACTTCATGGTCACCTCCAGAGTACCCGAACAATCTATCCTCTCCTATTTGTCATCTATGTGAAAGCTGTCAAGTCCTGTAGCTTAGTGGTTAGAGCACTTGCCTCGCAAGACCTGGTTTTGATTCCTAGCAGTGTAAAATGTTGGGCAAGTTTCCTTACTCCACATGTCTCTGTTTACCTAGCAATAAGAAGGAACCTGGGTGTTACCCAACTGGAGGATCGCTTTTCCAGGATAATAATTCCTTCCAAAAAATAGTTATAATAAATTGGTCAATTCAATCCATACCTGTTTGTGGGACACTGCTGTGCGCAATTGGCTGCCGCGTTTCGCCCACAAAATATACAGTCAATTCACTATATTCTGTGAAGTGCTCACGAAGACGTGATAAGGCACTATATCAAATGCAAGGATTATTTTTATTATATGATGCCCATTGGCATCATCCACAAGCATCGAGTTCAGTTACATATGTACCAGGAGAAACAACTCAACTTATCTTCTGCCACTCTTATTTGATTGTTTGCCTGACTTCATCAAGTATTAGATGACCCACAACTTTCTGCAGCTGAACATCAACAAGATTGAAGCCATGCTACTTGGCATCTGGAGGCACCCATCTCAGATTCTACTAACCTTTCTGGTTGCTGTCTCAGACCAAAGTGGGTCTGCTTGACCTTAAATTAAATTTTAAACGCCACAAATATTCCCTCACCAAGATAATTCTTCCACATGTAATACAATATAATCCTTGCAGAATACACTATAAAGTGAATTGACTGTATATTTGTAGTCAAAACGCAGCAGCCAACAAACAGTAGTATCAACAGTGCCAACAGTTGTAGTGCCAACAGCAGTATCCCACAAACAGTCGTGGATTGAGTGACCAAATTATCATTGTTTTTTTCTTGAGGGATTATTATCAGGCTTGTGGAGTAAGGAAACCTGTTCATAGTTTCGCCCTGCCGAGAATCGAACCCAGGTCTCTCGCTTGAGAGGCGAGTGCTCTAACCACCGAGCAAACACTACCTGCATTCTTCTTCGCCCCATCCATGCTTTCAGTATATTGATAGGCATTGGATTCTTTCCTGAACTCTCATGCTCTGCTCTTCAATAACTTCGATCCATAACACAGCACTACAAGTTCTTTCCTGCACAAGACTGCATATTCATTACCCCCACATACATGAAGCTTCCTTGACAACTACTACCTCAAATGATTCAATTCAAGACCTTTGGAACTATTCATTCAAAACCACTTTGCCTCACAATTTCTCAGCCTCAAAAACCTCCTAGATATTTATTTGTGCTTTTTTTTCAATAGATTGGTCAACTCTCCCTGCTTGATGTGAACATTTATAAAGTTTTTTTTTGTAAATGGTGATATAAAAATACAAGTTGATATAAACTGTACATTCTTAGCTACTAAAGTCACCAAATGTCAAAAGGCTGGTGACAACATTTGGCCTGCTTAGCTCTGGGAAAGGTCAACAGAAAAGGAGTCCAGTTGTTTTAACTGGACAAGAACAAATAGCACTTTTTTTATGAAGGTGGTCAATTGTGAGCAAAAAGCTAAGACTCCATAATAACTGAAATGTCTGAAAATCACATTACAAAGCAATCCGTTCAGTTATCAACATTCCTTCATGACCTCATCTGGATATGTAAACCTCACATAAGAACACCAACATTATGCATCACCCTCAAGGAATTTTCACAATGCCATCTTCAAAGAAACTACCACTTTGATGGCATGCTTCTTAGTAATGATTTAAATATTTAACCATCTCTCAGCACTATACGTCATTTTCCCTTAATTGTTTGCTGAGGATTGCTTTTCACAATGCCTAAATCTAAGCAATACTTTTCAGAATGCAGAAACGTGGTTAAAAAAAACACATCCTAACCTTTTTAGTTCTATTTAATTTCAGCGTCTGCACCACACGTTAGGTAATGAAACAATGGGTTTCATCTGATGAACAGGCAAACTGTTTTGTGAACAGGACTGCAGAAAACCCTGAAACTATTTGGGGTCATCTTATTATAATTGGCATAAATTATTAAAATAAATGTTGACCAACCTCATACTAATTCCTACAATTCTGACAAGTACAAGCGAACCCAGATACAACATGCTAGCTTGAGGGGGATGGGGAGGGAACATAAAATCCCAACAGGCCTCATAACCAGGCACAATCTTTGGTTAGTGCTTCTGAAGCCAGTCAAAGATCCACATAAGGTCCTACCTTATTAGATAGCCCTGTTATAACAGCACTTTACTGAATTTTAAACCTCATCAGAAAATACTGAAATATTTACATTTCAGTCAAAGTAAAGTCACAACAGGGGAACTTGCTTATATAATACAGGATTATTGACTCCTGCCAGCTCACTTTTAACTCCCACCTCCGCCTCACCGTCCTTGCTGGCCTTCAGTGGCCAGGGATATCAACTTTGAAACAGGATTGAATACCGCGAACAGAATATAGCTTATTCACTATCATCTACTTGTAGAATTGAAGAAATTACAATGCCAGTACCGACATTTTTCAGCACTGAGAAAAGCTGGCGCCAAAAAATGCCGGTATTGGCAATGTAATTACACTTTAGAAATTTTGGCTCGCAAGACCAGATTTCCTCCCCACCCCCCAATTGGTCTTGACAGCGCAGGATTTAGTGTAGTGGGAAGAGTTGCTCTGAAGTGTGGAATCATATTATAATGATTTTTGCATTTGATATAATGTCTATCATTGAAAAGTCTCAAAGCACTTCGCAGGTAAATTGCTTTAAAGTGAACATTTATCGTCAAATGCTGATTTTGTCAATTTGTTTGGAAGACATCAGAATAAACTTCCTTCTCTTTTCAAATAAGGGAATTTCTCCAAGTGTCCTAGCCAACAATCCCTAAAATAAAAAATGACTGTTTGTGGGAACATTGCTGCACACAAATTGGTTATCGAGTTGTCCTACAAATTACACATTCATTACACTTTACAGAATATCCTGTGCAATTCTTTGAGATGTCCTCTTAACATGAAAGGATTATTTTATTTAAATAAGCTTCATAGGATCTTTAAAATCCTTCTAAACAGTTTAGGTCTCATCCAAAGGACAGCAACCGACAATGCAGCTCTCCCCCAGGACAGATTATGAGCTCGGTGAAAAAGTCACCTGATAAGCATGCCTTGATCAAATTATCCCTCTGTAGCTCCTTGATTATGTCTATGTTGGGGAGGAAAAGGGGGAGAAAGAGAAATGACAATGTTAAACATCTTTTGTTGATTTATATTGGCAACAAGGTCATTTTGGATTCTGTTATTTATTCCTTTTTTAGACTAAACAAATTGTTCCACTTTCATGGCATTCTGGAGGAGAGAAAATGCTAAAATTATAACAGCAGTAAAGCACAACAACAATGATTTAATGTTCACTTAGCTAAAAAGAAACTACTACGAAACTGGAGTATGATTTTGTTTGAAACAGATCATTGAATTGCTGCATTCGCCCACAAAATATACAGTCAATTCCCTTTACAGTATATTCTGTGAAGCGCTTTGAGAAGTCTCAAAGACGTGATAAGGCGCTATACCAAATCAAGGATTATTATTCTCAACCAGTATAAATAAATCAATTTGCATTTATTAACAAATGTCGAACCACTTTGAAATAGGTTAAATATCAGAAAGAAACTGGACGTAAATAAAATTTGAAATAATCTTCCAAACTTTGCAAGATGATCACTTTTCACAATGTTATTTGTAGATCCAATAGAAAGTTATTACATTTGTTCGGATATAAATATTTTATGAAGAATGTCAAAATCAGACAACCCAATGTAATTTCATTTATACATTAGGATAACATTCATGAGGATATTATTAATAACAACTTTCACTATTTATATAGCACCTTTCAATTAAGATGAACATCTTGAAGTACTTCACAAAAACGATGCAGATCTCAATAGCAGGAAAGAAAGTCAGGGAAATTTAAGGCAGTTGATCAAAGGTAAAATCATCAAGCAACGTTTTAACAGGGTTTTTCAGGCAGAAGAAGGTGCAAGATTAGCACTTTTGGGAAAGAATTCCAGAGGCGGGGAAATATTGTCTGAAGACCTGGCCATCGATGGGACTAAGGGAGTAAAGAATGAACAGTAAACAAGAATTAGAAGTGCTACAAGCATGAGTAGGAGAGTATGGCTGGAGATTGCAAAGCTTGGGAGGGGCAAGATCATGAAGGAATATGATGGTGTCAGAATGAGAAATTTGAAACTGATGCCCTTGGAGTCAGTGAATTGGGAGCCAGTGCAGCCTGATAAGATGGCGTAATAGATATGCAAAATCTAGCTGGGGGAGTGGAGGGGGGAAAAAAACAGAGAATTTACAGAGTGCAGACTTAGATGAAGAATGTCAGGTGTTATCAACTCACAAAGGGCTTTCCAAAGACTGCATTATCTGTAAAAAAAAATTCCATCCGCATTCACTTTCTTTCAATAGCTGCAAAGTTATAAGCATAGTACTTTTTAAAAAGTCTTTTCTTAGAATTCAAAATGGTTACAAGTTGTACGTACTATTCTGCTGTAGAGAATTTAAGGACGTTAAATCACACCTTTGATCTTTATCCTCAATGTTGTTATTTGCTTTCAATTGAGTTCTGTAGTTAATTGAAGAACTTAATGCCTTCTAAGCAACGCAGGGCACGTCTATGAATATAAGTGGGAATGAGTAAAAATAGAGGGGAATTTTGAAAAGCTTCCTGTCATTGGAGGACACCAGGAATCTGCACATCAATGAAAACTATAATGTAAAGCAGGTTCACATTAGTGATGCACAAAATCCAGCACAAGGTCATAAAAAAAATTAATAAGATCCACCAAGCAGACCTGCTGACACAACATTAGTGGTCAGTGATGAACAAGTTAAATAAGGAAGAAAATCTGAAAATGTGGTGAATTTACTTGTGTAGTGTTTAATAGCAGTGGCAGCACATGAAAGCAAATCAGCAGGAACCTTTTTTTTAAAGAAAATGAAGCAATATCACAAAGGAAATCAAACGTAACATTCAGCTAGTTTACTCTGGACTGCTAGACAGCAGTGGAGGTGCGCCAGTGTAACTTGTGTTATCAATTTGCTGACAAAGACGATGCTGGGCCAGAATAATTTTTACCAATACAATCAACCTTATTTGAATTTGGACACGATAATAGCAGGTAGGTTACAGCATACAGGGTTTTGTCAGAAATAGAAGACACAGGACTGAAAATGTTCAAAGAACTTGATGCATGTCATGAAATCAGAGCCTGATACTTAAATAAAACAAGGAAAAGTATCATAATAGTAATCCTTGTATTTGATATACAGTCTTATCAAATCGTCGAGACATCTCAAAGCGCATCACAGAATAATACTGTAAAGTGGAGTGACTGTGTATTCTGTGGGCAAAACGCGACAGCCAATTGTGCACAGTAGTGTCCCACAAACAGTCATGGATTGAGTGACCAAATTCATTCCTTTTTTTTGGAAGGGATTATTACCCACAGAAAGCAATCTGCCAATTGACTAAAGGCTGGTTGCTACATACGGCTAGCTAAACAGAGGTATGTGGAGTAAGGAAACTTGCCTAAAGTTTCGCCCCTTCCACATGCAACACAACATAAATCTAGAGAAGCAGTTTGTAGTTGAAGATCAAGGGTAAGAACCAGAAATCCCCAATGCTTTTATTTTGTCTACACCCAAGAGGACTTCTCTAAATTCAAAATATCTTAGAAGTGTTTTTTTCTGTAACTCTCCCCATTAACATTTATTATCCTACTGGCATATGAAGGATGAAGGATGCATTGTAGCTGTGGGATTTGTATTGCATCATCAGCCCTCAAGGACTGGAAGATTGACCCTGAACAAGCAGTGAGGACAAATACTTTAGAGAACAGCAAGATCATCAAATAGAACCTTGTGTTACACTCACACAAATAAAATCAGTTTTACTTTGAATTGTTCCATTTTAGATAGATGCTTTCTACAGAGACGTTAATCCATAACTGAAGGAAGGAAGCAAGTCTGGATTAGCCAATCAAGATAGTATGAATGTATATAAAAGTTGTGATCACTCAACGCATATTAGCTCCTTTTGAATACTTGTCATGAAATTTTATCCAGTCACTACCCATTCACAGTGTATCCTGTGAAGCAATTTGAGATGTCCTCTTGACATGAAAGGCGTTATATCAAACATAAGGATTATCTTCAGGCAACCCTGTCATAGACCACTGGGCTGTCTGCAGTAAAATATTGTACACGTGATTGTACTTTATCCTTGCTCAAACCATTTGCTCCACTCACTTAAAGCACAGGTGCATGCCGCTGAACACACCTGGCTTAAATCAAACTTAACAGTCCATCGGCAGATCTGGTTGGACCTTAACAAATCTTACCGCTCTGTCCTCGCCTCCGCTAAATCATCGTTCTACTCCAAGACAATCTTGGAGGCCAAGGACAACCCCAGGCTCCTCTTCTCCATCACCAACCAGCTCCTCTGCCCACCCTCTTACGCCTTGCCCATCCTCACCTCAAATGCCAACTGTGAGGCGATGATGGACTTCCTTGAATCCAAAGTTGAGGGGATCCGCTCAGCTGCCACTGCCATTCCGTCTGCCCCACCCTTCCCATCTCCCCGGCCCCTACCCATCTCTCCCTTCACACCTTTGAACCTGTCTCTCACTCCTCTCTCACCACGACTAAAACCTGCATGAAACCGACCACCCTCAACGCCATCGCTAACCCTCTCCTTACCTCCCAGCTCCACCTCCGTGCCCCTCTACACAGACATCATAAACCTCTCCCTGTCCACTGATCCTGTTCCGATCTCATTAAAAAACACCGTCATCACTCCTATCCTTAAAAAGCCCTCCCTGCCATCTCTACTCTCAAACTACTGCCCCATCTCAAACCTCCCATTCCTCTCCAAGGTGCTGGAACAAGTTGTTGCTTCCCAGCTTCATCTCCCACCATTCCCTTCATGTTCCCCCCCAATCGGGTTTCGACAGTACACAGCACAGAAATAGTCCTGGTCAAAGTGCAAAATGACGTTCCGTCCATCTGCGACCAGAGCTCCCTCTGTCGCGTCATCCTCCTTGACCTTTCTGCTGACTGTGACACTGTCGACCACTCTATCCTCATCCACCACATCTCAACCTTCACAGCTCTGTCCTTGACTGGTTCAGATTGTACCTCTCACACCGCTTCCACTTCATCTCCACAAAAGGCTTCTCCTCTAGCCCTCGCACGATCTTGTGCAGCGTTCCTCAGGGCTCTGTCCTTGGTCCCCTCCTCTTCAATATCTACATGTTCCCTCTTGGTGACATCATCCGCAGACATGGAGTCAACTTCCACATATATGCGGATAATATCCAACTCTATCTCTCTTTCAAAGCTCTCCATAGTCTTGCTCCCCACTACCTCTGTGACCTCCTAACACCCTACCATCCTGCTCGGTCTCTCCGCTCAGTGGGCTCCGGCCTGCTTCACGTCCCCCGCCTCGCTTGCCTCACTACTGGCAGGTGGGCCTTCTGCCACTCTGCCCCCACTCTCTGGAACTCAATCCCGCAGTCCCTCCACCTCGCCCCCTCCCTTGCCTCCTTGAAGACTCATCTAAAGACACTCTGCTTCGACCGCTTTCGATCACCCGGCTTCCTCCACTGTCCTCCACCCTCCCCAATTCCGACCTCCAGCTCGGGTCCGAAACTCTGTCTGTCCAGTGCCTTGAGACGTCCTCCCAACGTGAATGGCGCTATACAAATGGAATTTTGTTGTTGCTGCAATATTCTATACCTAGTTAGGTTCAACGTCAATGCTATAGCTACACACATCCAAACAGATGGGGCTGAACTCCTTCCCTAGTTATGTTTCTAAATAGGGATGCTCTTGATCCAGAAATATGCCAATTTAGGACAGACTTTTCTATGGAATAACAGCAAATTATCTATACTATTCAACACTCTTCATGCAATCCTAGAAAATACAGTGGAAATGCTTAATCCCACTTATTTTTCCACTGTTCAAGTGCCTGGATTTCAAAGGTAATGAATTATACTCTCAACATTTCTGCTGATCATGTTCACCTTACCTACAGTCTGTGGGATGTATGGAGCCAGAAGCTTGGCCCTTTTCTTTTCATAGCCTTTCTGAGTGATATCACCTGAAAAGAAAGAAAACAGTGTTGGTGGAACAATAACAATATTCTATCAGTAAACCTTATACTCAGAGAATAACATAGCAGTCCTGGTAATCACCGTACAGTAATGAACTTGGGGGACTGGATTGATTGGCTACATAGTTGACCAGCACATCCAGAGTTCACGTTCACTGTGTACTTGGGACTGCAAAGCAGCATCAGATCTCAACAGCAGACTCAATGGTGTTATCACAATGACACCCGTCACAAGCCCGAAGATTCTTACGGCAAGTCCCGGAACAGTTGAAAGGTTTAACAGGGAACTTTGATTACTTCAGCCAGCGATCGGACAAGTACCCAATAACACAGACACAGTTCAAGTTTTCCTTTGAGATGGAATTCATGGGCAAGCTAGGAGGCCCAAGGTCACTTTCTGGGGAGCAAAGGAGAAGTTTTAATCTATACCTGATCAGGTTCGTCCTACATCTGATCTTGGACAATTCAATATTGACCCTAGATAAACAATGTGCAATGAGATCCCAATTCTCCAGAAGTGACATTGAATTTTAAAAAGGATGTAAATCACCGACATGTTAAATCAGATCTGACAGGCCATTCGCATGCCAATGTAAGTTGCGATAGTATTAAATATACCCATTTCTCTGTAGTAAGCAAAGTCACAAAATGCAGTTGATCACTGCCATTCCAATCACATAAGATAGTAAATAGGAACCTATGATTTGCAATGAGGTTTACTAAAAAAAGGTCAAAATGGAATAAAACTTGCACAATTTGAAGCAGCAACACTGGGATTCAAATTACAATCATTAAAATGTTTGAACTTCCCTATATAGTGATGAGATCACTTGAACATCCAGGTTTGTTATTGCTTTGCAACATATTCCAACATAAATCTTGTCCTATATATAAAACTGATTGACTTATAATTAAAGATCTTGGGTATATTTCAGCTAGTGTTATAACTGAAAGCTTATAGAGGATTGGGCGTAGTTAAAATTAAAGGCTTTCAGAGCCAGACCAAAGACAAGTTACTTATTTTATTCAGTCAAGAAATGGTGAAACATAAGAAAAAAAAATACTTGCATTACCACAAGGCAGCAAAATGGATGTGCCAGTCATTCAATAGACATTCACAATTGGATCTGGTTATGGCGCATTGCTGGTCATTAACATTTAAATGAATTACTCAAAGCTTCAAAGTCTATTTCAAACAAAGTCAAATTACCATCTACCACCAGTGTTACATAGAATTTAGTAGTGTGCAATATTAGTAACAGATTTAACAACCAAAAACCTTAATTGGATGAATGGTGACTTCTCCAGTAAACATCGACATTGGTCTCCCATACTTCCTTCTCAGAAAGTAAAGGCTATAGATATCTATGTTCCAATATGAACAGTCCTCTAAATATTGAAATCGTGAGGCGCCAATTAAAACTGTGCAAACAGAACTGCAAGATCAACCAGATTCACGTACCATTTTTTAATCCACCAATCTGATCCACAGAGAAACCAGTTAATGCATTATTTTTACAAAGGCAGTGGGAGGGAAGTGGTTTGATTGGAGTAAATTGAAACATGTTACACTAAGTAAATATAGACATACACCACTATGAGAATACCCAACAAGGGTATAACTAATTTTTGGCTGATGTGCAGCAAATAGTGTCTATGCCATTCACCTTTAGGAAACCACAACCTCAGGAAATCTTCAATATTTTGTACATCTTAAATGTGAAATACGATATGAATACAAACCTCCCCAGCCATCACCCACTCGAAAGTCAGTCACCACACCCATGGTGACAGAAGGCTTGAGTGAGATGTCAAGCCAACCATCCAGATACTCAAGACTTGATGCTCACATGCCTCTGTGTTGCTGCTACTATTTATGTATTAGGACTATTTGCACTCGGTATAAGTAATAATAATAATAATCCTTGCATTTGATATAGCGCTTTTCACGTCGGGAGGACGTCCCAAAGCGCTTCACAGAACACTCTGAATTGCCTGTATATCTGTGGGCGAACGCGGCAGCCAATTGCACACAGCAATGTCCCACAAACAGTCGTAGATTAAAAATGACCAATTTATTATTGTTTTGGGTTTTGGAGGGATTATTAATAGGTTCTGTGTGGAGTAAGCAAACTTGCCCAAGGTTTCGCCCTCTGCCTGGAATTGAACTCAGGTCTCTCGCTTGCAAAGCGAGTGCTCTAACCATTGAGCTATAGGACTCCAACATAGATATCTATAGCCTTTATTTTCTGAGAAGTAAATGGTCCTTTGTAACTGGGTACAATATTGCACATGTAATAGCACAAAATTAAGTCTTTTTTTTATCCCGTCATGCTAAACGATTTGACACATTCTCTTATGGGAAAAGTGCTACATCAAGTGAAAGGATTATTATTAACAATAAGAGTGAGTAAAAGGATAGAGAGACAATATTAAAGGAGATTAAATGTGAATCAGATAAATATATATATTACACAGAGAGACAAAGAGAGAGAGAAAGAGTGAAAGTTATAGTTAGAGAGAGCAGGGTTGGCACAGTGGTACTGTACAGATAGTATAACTCCCGATGGCAGAATGTTTTAGTTTGCACTGTAGTCAATTTGTATAATGACCAATTATCAGCACTGTTTGCTTATCCACAAAGGGGCCGGTATCAATTAGTATGTTTAAGTGGCTCTTCAAAGTACTGCAAGGAAGTTGCATTTTACACATCTACTGTAACACAGTAAAATACATTTCATGATGAAGATCACTATCCACAATAAAAATATCTTTCAACATTTTGAAAAAAAAAGCTATTTCTAGTCAGCTCCAGTCAGTCAATACTAACAAATTGTGAAGAAGTGTATTTACAAAAGGATACCAGACCCAGCAAATTTTATATCCAACAACCTGAACGTGTTTTGGTTCCAGTGCTTGAAAGGATCTAAATGCAACACACACAGCATCTCTCAGAGTGGAAAATCGGGTGAATTACACAAGTCCCATAGCACGCNTTTTTTTAAACCTGATTCTCATTCCACAAAGGAGAATTTAATTGAAAGTCTTAAAATACTCTTCACTGAAATTCTAATGATCTGCTCCCCAAATGTCTCCTGACAAACGCAAGGAAATTTTAGCCAGTCGAAAAATCATCTTGTGTCTGTATTTCACCAGCAATCTTTCCAACCTAGAGCAGATGGGTCTGCTGCTACATTAACCCTTGAACATCACAGATTGTTGGCACACAGACTGTAGCAAAATTCTACATATTTACATAATAGCAGAATTAAACATATGACATCTTGAGGCTGTCTTAGCAGATGTAGTGATGGAACACTTCACTCTTCTTGAGAGTCAGTGTACAAACGGAAGCCTTAACTAAGAGTTCAACCTCCTCTGCTTTGCAGGTATCAATCAGTAAAATAAAAAGCTAGTAACAATTTGATTTATTAATTGGTTAATAAAATGACTTATCAAAGTCAAAAGACTTCAATGTTTTCACTCAAGGAATGATTTGAAATAATTTATAGGGACTGGGCAGAAAACAAATGCAGAAAACTAGCTTAATCAGATTAAAGATCATTTGAACGAGTCAGTGAAATAGCATAGAACAAAGTAACATATACAAGGCCCAAATCAAAGCAGATAAAGAGTTTTTTGTGAAGGGTTGAAGAGTGGACAAGTATAGAAGCCTTGCAAACAAATCTTCAACCTGTGGGAGTTTATTGCAAATGTACATAGCAACTGCTTGGAAAATAAATTGTTCAGTTAAGGGTACAATTCAATTGCCATGAAAGATGGGGGGGTGGGGGGAGAATGACAATTCTTACCAAAATTTACTTTACAGTAATTCAAAGTTAATAGAAAATTAAGCGATGTTGAACATTTATTTAATTATAAGATTGCTCCACTTTGCCAGCTGGTTAAACTGTGGCATCACAAGAAGTTTCATATCACAGACATGCCAGAAATGTAAAGAATATATACCAAATGGAATAAGAGCATTTAAAAGTATAAATTCTTTTCAAAGCAACACCCTATTAGAAATCAGGAGGCTCACAGGAAAAACACACATTTCATCCAAGCTTACACTATTGCTACAACTGGACACAAAGGCAGCTTCCCATACCTTATTGCGTTGTTTAAAGTTCAATGAATATCTTGTCAATATCCCCAGAATTCCTTGTTGCAAACAGTCGATTGTCAAAATCAAGAATCAAAATAAAGCAGGTAATAGTAACTGATAACCAGATTTTTCATATAGATTTAAATGTCATTGAAAGAGCAACAGGCACAACATGACAGAAAGCTAGGGCTTTGGAGGATTTTCTTTTTTAAAAATAATAAAGAATAAGGTACACTAAGAAGCAGTAGCAAGGCAACCTCTGTCAGTCAGCCAGTGAGAGACTTAAAGTCAACGGTTTGGATGTGGAGCTTGGATCAGTCAATACCATTCAGTGTGCTCAGACAGTACAGAGCCGAGCCTCTTTGTTTCCAGTTTCAAAAGCTCAGAGGCTGAATCTGTGCCATGCAATTATTCCTAAAAAACAAAGCATTATAACAGCCTCTGGGATCAGAACGTCAAGCAGCCTGCCTGGAACCCCCCTCCTCAACTTATCCACGTCCTCTTGCCACATCTGGTGCACTTGGGTAAGCAGCTGCTGACACTCAACTCAGCTTTCAGGGGTCTATTAGATGCGACAAAGGCAGTCTGATACCTCTTCCTCCCTCGCCTAACTGAGGACACAACTGCATGAGGCAACAACAGCTGAGCCACAGGGTTTAGGAGGTCAGAAGTAACCGAGGACTGATAATTTATGCTGTTCCGCTCCAGGGCTATTGGTCCTTCACGTGCCTCTCATACGCACAGCTCAATTGCATTTCAATTTGCACTGAAGCAGTTACCAGTGAATCTGCTATGAATTTTAGTCCTGGATGTCACAAGCAGAGGCACACAAAAAACAACCCATACTGCCTCATCATATAATGGTCACATGTGCAGAAGT